GAACTCTAGCAATCGAGGCAGGATGACAGGGAAACTGTCCTGCCACAGAGCACATGATGCCTGCCAAGCTGGAGTTGACTTTTCAAGCTTGTCTACAGAATAGTTGAGGAAAGTCTTGGTGGTCCGCAGGGGCAACATCTGCTTGATTGTCAGCTGTGCATATATCATTGCACTGGAAGATGCAGATAATGTGCTTACCTGTTGGCGCTCTTCAAGCTCAGCTTGTAGAGCTGAGCCCTCAGCATCCAGCTCTACAGCTCCCCAGTCTGAGAGCCTGTTGACACCATGCTTTGCAAGGTACTTCTGAGCTTTGTCCAGACCAATCAGCCCACAAAATCCTGAATAGGATTCCAGAGCCTGCTTGAGGCCATCATCTCGCCATTGTGATTTGACTGGCTCAACAAACATCTGCAACCTCTGTAGACGAGTTTCTTGATCAATGTTAGTTGCACGATGGATGATTATGAACAGGAAACTCTTGTAGTTGACCAGCCGTCTCTCATCCAGGGTGCCCGAGGTACTCATCTCCTGAATCTTGTTGTCCAGCTGATCATAGACTGCAAGCAGGTTATCTGGCATCTTGAATGCCAGGCGCTGAAGCTCATTGATACTTTCTGCTTGGAGATCCTTTATTGCTTCGTTGAACAGCTTGTGTTCCGGTTGAGCTGCTGGCCAGGTCATTAGAATATGCTCAAGGACTTTGAGCATGAAGCCATTGTTTTTTCGCAACGCGGTGGTCGAGAAGGCGACAAGCAACTGAAGAACACGCTTTCGGATGAGAGGGTCTTGGAAATTCATCTCGATGAGACGATTACACCACGCCTCCAGATGTCCGTCCAGTTGGGCTCGCTGCATATCAATCTGTTCCTGGCTGACACCCTTTGGTGGTCTCGATCTCACGTAGCCTTTCAACGCAGATTCTATGACGGTGAACTGCGCATCAACACGCAGGTATGGCATCGAATTCTTGGTGTACTCGGCAGGATCGAACGGCGGAAGTCCATCGTACATATGTTGGAGAACGGTCTGGGTTTGCCCGAGAATGTGATTGATGGCATCCGACAATGTCAGCTCGACAATGCTTTCAATCACTTGTGAGCTATAACGCCTGTAGTTGCCCAGGAAGGCATGCCGCTCCGGAATGGTGTCCGTGTCTTCCATCAGCAGCAGAAGAGTAGGGTCTTCAGTGTCCTCTGGGAGGTTCTCGTATCGGACCAGTCTCGAGGAGCACACCTCTAGAAGGGAGGCAACAAGGGAAGATTTGGCGATCGATGGTCCGAGAGACCGATTGTTAAGCAGCTTTGTCCAGGTAACGAGCACGGGAATGGAGACGACCAGACTCTGGCTCTGAACGACCTGAAGCAGGAACTGCAGAAATGATTGAATTTCGGCTGCCGCAGGAAGCATGTGGAATTTGCGGTCCAGGTAATTGCCTAGATGCGAGACAGTCTGCAGTTTTCATTAGCGAAACACTCTTCTCATGTCGACATAAAATTCCCCTTGAACTCACCTCTGAGAACTTTTTGGCAAAGAGGTACTTGTCATCGTCGATATCCTCGGCATCCACAGTGGACCATGCCAGTAGCTGCGAGAAACGATCTACGCAATGCTTCTCGTACATGGGCGCGACGAGTGCCGAGAACTGTTCGTCAGAGAAACCACTCCGTGAGTACAAAGCATGTAAAGCTTCGAGTGACGCCTGCGACACTGATTAACACACGCCTTTAAGTAAAGCGCTTTAGAGAGCGATCATACCTTTTGCACTGCAACATGAGGAGCTACCAGACCTTCATATATATATCTCACAGTGTTGGATTGGATGATTGCCTTTGGAAATGCCCATGGCAGCACTACAGTGAGCACAGAGAGCGTCTTGAGCACACAGGACCGTACGTCTTCATTTTGTACATCGGATGCGAGACACTCGCCGAGAAATACAACGGCACGGTTGAGCCAGCCGTCCGGTCCGTGGCGAACAGGAACTCCAGGTTCGCGATTGGGAAAATCCTCAGCTATGACGGATGCAGGCATGTAAATGTCGACAACGGCCTTATCCAGGATGTTTTCCCGGAGAGCGACAATGGGATCGTCTCCGCCAATGATCTCATCAGAGAGGGAGCCGAGGACTGACATAACGAGCTCCTTGTGAACGGTGAAGCCGGGCAGTTGCCAAAGCGCAAACAGCATGGCGTCCATATCCATCCACTCAGCTCCCCAGCATCGCTTTGCGATCTCGACCCATAGCTGCGCTATCTTATTCCGGATATACTGCAAATCTTCTGGGCCTCTGGAGATGTTTCTGGCAAGCTCCAATACCCAGTCTCTCAGACAGCCAGCTTCTTCGTCTCCATATTCAGACCAATTATGTGTGATGGCGTATTCGAGCAGCGACAGGCCGTAATATCGAGCGTAAGGCGACTGTGCTTTGTCAGAAGCGAGAGTAAAACCGTATGAGGGGCCCTCTTTGAGGGGCTTGACGCTTTCGAGAAATTGCTGTGCTTCGAGACGAGCCTGGTTGTTCGAGGGGCCGTAGACGATTTCGAGGGCGCTGAGGATGCGAGGCACGACGTCGCCATTTGCGAAATTGCTGGAGCCGTTGGTGGCGGCAAAGGTAAAGCCGCCGTTCGCAGGCTGGGTCGCCATGCTGCTGTGCCGGAGCGTACAAGACAGCGCCAGAGGGAATTGATGGGCCTTCCGCAACAGTGCAAGTCTTTGACAACAGCGCAGAGACAGCTATGCCATAGCAGGTAAGGCGGGGCAGGCAGAGGAGCGAGGCTTGAAGCGCGGTGCCACACGAGATGATGTCAAAGGTCCGTCTTTTTTTTCCCTCGTCCTGAACCGCCAGCCGATGTGCAAATGGGTGATAGATTCTGGAGACGGCGCGCCTGATGTAAGGGCTCACGCAACGAGACGGCAGCTTTGCAAAGAAGGATATCGCAAAACAAGGTGATGCAATGCAAACCACAGCCAGCTAGGTAAAGGGTCTGCAGTGCAGTTTTAAGATTTTATCAGGTTGTCTTTGGAGGAGGGTAGCTGGGCTGCGCTTGGAAGTTGCTGCTGATGATGGGTTTACGTTGTTATTAGCTTCTACAGAAGCCGAGAAGCTCCCCTAAATTTTGGGTTGGGGGCGCGCCCAAAGCGTGAACCATGTCATGCTGACCAGCAAGCAGCGCCTGGGCACTTGACGTGACGACTCTGCTACAGGCTACAGGGGGCTGACTTCGCTTGGCAGGGGTGCAGGGATTCGCGGCTAGCAGCTGGGAGAACCCCGCTATAGCGTCTGCTTTCATTAACTTCAGCCTCAATATCACTTGTCCCGCTATATTGTAACGGGGTTAGTGCTTCACAGCAACATACATGAACCGTGATCTGAGCGTACTTCCCTAAGCAAGTATCCTTCTAGAAGGTGTTTCATAAGTATATCGAATTAAATCCGCTTAATTAACAAGATATTATAAAGTATGAATTCGTCCTAGCAGAAGAGTGGTTAGTGAATCTGATCTTTGTTCTGCCCTTTTTGTATTTGTATGAACCAAAAGCAAGAGAAACAAACGGAAGGTGATTTGCAATGCACTACACTAGATGTTGTATCAAATCAGCTGCTACAGTGCTTCCGTTGCATAACCTATTGTAGTATTTAGAAAGCAAGGCAAGTTGTTTCTACAACTTCCAAGAAATGAAACCTTACCAACGAAACCCGTTCAACGGCGAGGCGCTAATCACAGCAGCAGTTCACACAACGCGGGATCAGCGACAAACTTAGCGTTGTCGCTTGATACCCTGACAAGCCTAACTCCGGGGAACAACGCTGCAGTGGATAGATTGAAGGTCTGTGACAGGCCTAAAAATTTCAACGTTCGGATATTGATGTCAACTACCAACCCGATACTTTCTCTCCATAAACTGGAGAATCTGCTAAACAAAATCCCCGTGATCTCAAAAGATAACTTCATCCCAAGCAAAATGGCAGACCAGCGACCAAAGCAAATGAGCAACACAGAGGTCTCGGCAGCCTTCACCTCATACTACCTTCAGCGGGCCACCAAAGAATTTGCCGAGGATCTCGACACAATTCGCAATGCCGACGACTTTAGGAACGATGCTGTTCCGATTCTCATTAACGCTCTGTCTCAAGGAACGACCATGTTCTCGCCAGTGGACCAACGCAGGATAGCGGCGACTGAGGAGGGGACCAAGAAGTCTGGCTGAGCAAGTTCAAATATCGAGCAGGCATGATACCATTTTGAAGGAATCATGCGATTGGTCCATGCCTTTTGTGGCTTTTGACAAAGCCTCGAGCATGGAATAGGAATACGAGGCACAAAAACGTCCGTCTGCCCGATGATGGAGGCACTTTTGCTGGGAACTGCAGCACTCGAGGGCATACAAACGGCCAGGACGACCGGTCACAGCATTTCCCGAAATATACCCGCGGAACCAGAAGATTTTCGCGTCACCACCCTGCAATGCACGAATCTATTATTTCCTGGTAATCGAAAGTGCTCCATCGGCTGCAACGAAACACATGGTCCATCTTAGCTCCGCGAGGGTCTACAACAACAATTTCACGGAAGCATCTCAAATCAAGCAAGAAGTTGAATGGTCCATCTGGACGAGGGGAATCGAGCGAGAATTTGATGGGGTGCTTGAACGGGAACTTATGGCTTGGAGGAAGTTGTCAACCTCTCCGAAATGGTTCATTTTCAGCCCGTGCAAGTGCGATTTTGAGCCTGCGAAACGGCAAAAATTTGTGGTTATTGCGGGCCGACTTGAGGCAATGGGATCTGTGTAGCAGTAGCCTGGCGATTTGATGCTAATAACAATATCAGATCAATGATGTTACATAGCGTTTGCAGTAAAGGCAGCGTTGCATCAACTAGGTCCTTCAGCCGTAGCTGTAAAGATCGTCTGACGTGGTGTGCGTTGTGATCAGTCACAGCCCCGGAAGCGCAATGTATCCAGGGGATATAGACCATGAGTACAAACATTCTTTCACAATTGGCACAATGGCAGAGTGGTCTAATGCGTCAGACTTGAACTGTTTCAAGCCTTTCGAGCTATCTGATTCCCTAGGGAGCGCAGGTTCAAATCCTGCTTGTGTCGTTTTTTGGGCATTTTTACTGATGCGCCAATACCGTGATAAACACACATGGATGTTTGTTATGTGGCGGCGCTTGATTATTCATTTTGCGTACATATGTAATTGTGAGGTGTGTCGGTGTCTTTTTGTTGGTGATACTGGGATTCTGCTGTGGTTCATGACAAGACGGTGCCTTTCTATCTAGTATTTTGACAGAAAGGGCGCTGCATCTCACATTATCGCGATGCCATCTTGACCAGATTTTGATACCCATGCCACGAGCCAATTATCAAAGCAGCCAGCAAAGATGTCCCACCAGTCACGATCACCACATCCTTGTATCTTCCTACCCCGTACTCATCCTTGTCCACGCCCGTTTGATCTCCTTCCCCAAGCAGCACCGCGCTCAACGGCCCCGTGAAGATATTCCCCACGCCCTGCAAAAACACAAAAATCGCATACAGCGCAAACAGCGCCGACGGATCATCATTACCTACCGCCCGGCCCATGGCAACCCGCATCGTGCCAAACCCGAACCCAAAGAAGCCATACACAAGGCTAAACACGCTGAGCGCCGCCATGGACGTGCCCACGGCGCCCCAGAGCCCTAATGCCGCACCGCCGGCCACCATACAGCACAAACCCGCCAAAACACCGACACCCAGCGACCTACGTCCAGCACCGCTGCCGCCGCTGCCGCTGCTACTTCTATCCGACAAATACCCAAATGCAAATTGGCCCAGCACCTGCGCCGCCGACATGAGCGCCAGCAACGCTGCCGCGAGCGTCGATGAAATACCCACAGCAGATGCATACGAAGTGATGAACACAATCGGGAAAAAGAACCCCAACCCTTGTACGAGCACCGCGCCCGCATACACCCAAAACAACCCCTTTCGCAAGAACGACCAGTCGGTGCGCGCCAGTTGTCTCGCGCTGCTATTATCTGACACAGGCAGTCTAGCTTTCAGTAGCGGCAACAATGGCGCCGTGAGCACCAGCAGCGCGATAGCGCACGCCCGTAGCGTCGTGGTGTATCCGAACCGTTGCAGCATCGTGTCCATGACAAACGGCATAAAGGTTCCCGTCAGCCCCGATGAGGCGGAGATAAGACCAAACGCCATGCCCTTGCGCGCGACCCACCATTCATTGAGCATGCTGATGATGGGGTAAGTCAGCGTGACGAAGCCAAAGCCGTAGAGGAAGCCTTGCGTGGCGATGAGTACGGGGACGGTGCTCGCAAAGGACGCGGCCAGGAGGCCGAGGATGCACAGCGGCCAGCCGAAGCGGATCTGCCATTGCCGATAGTGCGGGTATTTCTTGGTGACGAGGGCCGAGATCGGCGCCCCGAGGTAGGTTGTGCCTTGGGCGACGGTGCCGATGAGGGCGACGCGTGACGCGTCGGTCCGAAAGGCCGGCAGTGCCGAGTAGTAGTCTTGGAAAACGCCAAAGCACATTGGGAAGCCTGCGGAAAGGAAGACATGAGCCATTGGCTTCCACTGAAAAAACACAGGTTTGCATGTTTGAGCACAGGTCGAGGACAAACAAAAGACGATGCGTTACTCACCCCAGAACATGGCCTCGAAAACCACAGCAGCAATGAGCACGACCCACGCATCTCGGCCTCTGTCCACTGGCTTCAACTCCTGCGCATTGGCCCCCCTGTCGAGCTCCTGAGTGTCAGAGTTTCTGATTGCGCCTTGCGGTGCATACTGCAATTCCAGCACCGTGGCAGGGGAAGTATGAATCTGCTCTGTGTAGCTCATGCTGAATCCATTGTATCGATACTGGGACTCAATGAGACTGATCAGAAGGACGATATAATATCTGGACTCGTCTCGCTATGAGCCTTTTGTTCAAAAGTAAAGTCAGTGTTCCGCCTTGCAATCAGCATTCAGCGGTTATTGGAAACATCTTTATACAAATCATCAGAAGTCAACAGCAGCGTTAAGGCAATCCCCCAACAATCTTGGTACATAGGTCACATGGCCTTCAATAGGTACTACCAAAGATAAACGCTATGGCTATCTCTCCACAATATCGATAACAACAAGGGCGCGCTCGGTTATTCACGGTTCACGAGTATTAGTAAAGTATGATCCATCTCATCACAACACAGCCATATGGATATTGTCTATCTACCTAGGTATTAGCGCCGACTTTCTGCACATGAATCTAGAGTTCGGAGACGAAGTGTTGCAAGTGTGCTATGAATCATATCAATAACGAGTACAAGGCTCTTGATTTCCGTATCCGGTTCACTCGCAACTTGTGCCACTCACCTTCCGTATAGTTAGGGACAGCCAATCACATAACACGATTCAGACAGGGGTTGAATACAGTTTGTATCATCTCGGATTGTTGATGCGCAATTGCGTTCTTCCGAATGGAGGATTATTTTATAGATGTAAACGATAAGCAGTTGACTCTGGTCTAGACTCATTGGCTTCAGCTATCCAATGATGGCCCGGTCGTTCAATCTTGCCTATTGTCTTGCTCGAGGCACGACAATTGTTGCGAGGCGCCACGATTATCATTGGTGATTGAATACTCCCGATGCAAAACATTAGGCCAACTGAGAGACGCACAGAGTGTGTTCGGGCAACATACTCGGAACGATTTCCATTGCCCAATCCCAAACTGTTGCTATCTTCACCATCTTTTGATCATACCAGCTCAAGCACCAATGTCCAATCATAGTCCACACCGCCACCACCACTAGGCTGCACCAAGGTTTGTTGGCGAGAGAGTATTACAGCGCCCGACGAAGGATTGTGACACTCGCTGGTTCATGGATCATTAAACTGCGTGCTCGCCGTGCTACTATCTGTCTAATACCCATCAGCTTTGTTACTCTGCAAAGTACGTCCCCAGCGCTCGAAGGCCCAGATGAAATGCATCGCCAAAGCCAGTGTAGACCTAGTACTGGCTGGCCCCGACTAGTGCAGAACATTATCGATTCGCTTCGAGGCGTGGAATATCTTTACTGTCGGATGAATGTCCTGTCAAGCCGGAGAGTGCTGTACGCATTATACCCCTCGATGCGCGAAGACCGTTTCTGCACACGACCTGCCTGCAACGACTCAGCAAAAGTCAACAACTCGCGCCACGACGCGTTGTGCGGGATCCAATCGAAATGGCATGTATAGCCCTGGATAAGCGATCTGCTTCTCAGGCGTGTACATCTGCCAAATAGCCTGCGCGTCATAGGTGAAGCCTTTTGCGCCCTTTGCGCCTCAGCTTCCCACAACCCGTCTGCAAGCTTGGCGAGTACTGGATGCGAATCCAACAAAGGGCCGATTTCGATAGAGGCGGGATCCACGCTTGTGTCTGCCCCCTCCCCCCCCCCCCAGGGCAACCAGAATGCCATAGGTATGTAGCACGGGATGAACGGCGGCTGAGGCTCGGCATTAGCTACATGCCGATGGAGATCACGATAGGGAAGACGAAGTTTGCGAAGGAAATGGATCAATAGATTTGACTTCGGTGAGATCCATTGTTGGAAATTTGGACCGAACGCTGAGAAGAGTATTGCTCAAGCAAACTCAATATTATGAGATAGGCAAATCCGGTAGGTCTAAACAGTTCTTGCCATCCTGGAGGGGTAAACATGGTGAGCAATTGGAAGTTGCAGCTGGAAACTCTGTGTTTTCAGTGTCAATCAATTCTTCCTGGTGTTACTTGTGTATATTCCCATTTCCAATCCCGCCGAGGAAGGAAGATATAAGTGAAGCTCATGTTCTTGGGAACATCCAAGGATATGCATCAAGCACCTGTCCTCTCCTCCATACTCGATTCATAATCCTTCACGTCATGATACCCATGTCAGACTCAACCCAAACTCTGTAAGTAATAGCTCTTAAGAGAACCCCACCTATTATTGTTGATGTGGGACCTGTTGGCAACTTGACCTTGGATTTGAAAGACATCAAGTGAAGTCCCTCAGCTGCCATAAGACTTGCTGTGAAGAGTTTACAAGTCCTCACTATTCGCCTGTGGCTTGTGTGACTCCTTCTGGTGAAAAAGAACGTACTTGTCGTCGTGGGGAAGCTGGGGCCACTTGTTGTGGTTGACCGCAAGCTTCTTGCTGCGTCGGACTTGAGGTTTTCTCTTACGCCGAAGCTTAAGCTTGATTGAGGTCTCCTTCTTCGAAGTCTGCTTCGAAGAATGAACTGTCTGACCTGTACCAACGATGTCGTACTCGATAACAGGTTCTTCCCTGGACATGGCAGCGCCGCGCTCACTACTGTGTCTTGTTCTCTTGAGCAGCTCACAATCCTCAGCCTCCTCCTTCTTCTTCTTCTTCTTCTTCTCCTCCTCCTCCCTGAATCGCTTTTCCGCTTCCTCGTTACGGATCTTGGCATACTCCTCGGGAAGACGAATAGGAGAGGGGGGCGTCACAGGCCGCTGGAACGCAGAAGGCTGATCGGCGAAGAATCTGTTCAGCCAGGCAGCTTGGACTTTGGCCATGGCACTGGAGAAGCGAGAAGCTGCCCTCTGAAAGACGGGAGTGAAGGCCAAGAGGCTCCGCGTAGGTTCTTTGCAATCTGCGCGAGGCTTGGGGAGTAGAATGTGACTGTCATCAATCTCCACCGCGTCCAAGAGAGCATCAGCCGCTTCACGAAGTACTGGCTCCTGCTTGGCGGACAGGTGCTGCGACTAGAAGCATCGTGTGCGCCGACGTTGGCAGATGTTGCATGGTCCATTTTCGTCAGTCGAACGGCAGTCAGGTAAGATACCTGTAGTGGCAAGGCGCGAGAGGCACCTCAGGCACGGGTCGAAGTCATCCACGTCGTCATCCTCATCAGCAGCGGAAGAGTCGTCAAGATCGATGGCCATCGACGGGCTCAGAAAGCGAATGCGCTATGTGGTGTCAGCTGACAGGGTGGCTGTATAATTACGTGGACGAAGCAAAAGAGCTATTCAAGTTACCTTGGCCGGCCGCTGAGGATTGTAATGAATGATGATCTGCTTTTTGGACACAATTGGGGCGGGACTGCAGGGCTTGCTGCTGGCAGGACCA